CTTTCTTCTCTCTCTCTCTCTCTCTCTCTCTCTCTCTCTCTCTCTCTCTCCTCCCTCTTCCCATCATTAAATGTACATTTTCAAGGCTAGAAAAAACATTTAAAAAAACTTAAACAAATTGATAATTAATTATTTTTAAGAATAATAATTAAAAAGAATTTTGATATTTATATGTTAGATAACGGCAGCCTTACATATGTATAATACATTTATTTAGTTCATATGTCAAATATTTTATATACTTTATAAGCGTTGTAATATAATGTTGTAGACATTTCAGAAAATGGAAGAAAGAATTTCTATTATATTTAATTAATTTAATTAAAAACAATAAATATGTGATGTATGAATTACATTGCAATTTCATAATTAATTTTGCAAGTGCAGCAATTTCATAATTGATTTGCAAATGATTTTTCATTATTTTCGAATTCTACAATTCTATAGAAGGAGAAACGTTTAATTACGTCAATTATAAAGCAAACTTGAAATTATACTGTCGTCGAACTCCGGAATAATATAAATACTTACTTTAAATCGAAGTTCCCCAATCGGGGGTTTTGCATATGGTATTCCTCGGAAAGCAAAGTAGAGATCGCCATAGATTCCTTCTTCAACAGTGCCAATTAATTTCCCTTCATGCACATGCACATTTACTCTTTTGTTGTCCATGATGATACTAAAAATTGAATGATGACGTCAGTTAGTATTTAATGAAAATGTTTATTAATCTTGCTTTGCGGATATGCAAATCTATATCTTTTACAATTGTATTGTTTTATTTTCTATAATAATTGCACTGCACAATGTTTATTTTCAATTCTAAAAGTTGGCCAAAATATTCATATATTACATTTAAACAGACAAAAACTTGTGTAAACTTGTATAAACTGTTTTGTAAATCAAAATAATAATAAAAATCATTTGGTTTATTTTCGATTTTGATTTATTTAACTTATTTTCAAAACATATTCGTTAATGAATTATGGAGATATATCTTTTTTTGTTTATTTTTTGAAGGAATTTGAATTTCTTAGAGAAAATATGTTAAAGGTATTTTTTAAAAAACTCTTAAAGATATCTTAAAGTTGTCTTACGCATCGATTTTAGACATTCTGTCCATTGGGAATATATGTAAGAATCTTATTACTAGTAGTTTACTAATGTTTTCAAGAAATTTATTTTTTTGTTATAGAATTCGCATTACAAAAGCATATAAAATTACATGGAAATTACGCATCTTAATATATTGCAAAGATTAGATTAAATTTCTATAAATTCACTAAAACAAATAAAAATGTTGCATACGCGCGCATATTTGTAAACAGTTAAAAAAAAATTATCTTTGAAATAATATGAACTCGATTATATTTGTATAAATACATTTTATTTTCTTTTCATTATTGATAAGAAAGTAATAATGTGTTAAGCAATTAGAAATAGTTCTCTGTTATTATCAAAAATTTGGAATATTTCCTTCTTCAAGACTGAATAAATGATATTTATGAAAATCTTATATTTCTGATTTTTATGACTATTTTACATTTTATCGTTATGCTTTTGTCTTTAAGGCTTTTTTAAGTAATTTTTAATTACTTCTCTATTATTACATTGATTTTAATAATTACAGATGTTAATATATGTATTATTTATTTTATTATAAGTGAATATGTCGATTATTATTTACTTTGTAAAAAATTTTTTTATTTAATTCTCAAAAAAATTATTTAAATTATATTTTAATACTCTTTGCTCTTTTTTTAAAATGGTTTTGTTTTCTGAAAACATTGAAATCAAAAAAGCAAAGACACAAAAACATTATATAATATTGAAAAGCAATATTGAATAAGAATAAAAATTAAGTAAATTTTTAAATAAGCTGTATTTTTAAAGTATAATAAGTATTTTTTTCAAAATTCTGTTCTTCAGTTTGAGAATTTAGACATTTATTTTATATTATACTTATTTATTTTCAGTTGAAATCTCTCTATTCCTTTATTCTCGCGGAAGAATCGATGCTTGACGTGAAACGTACGATAGCTCAAAGAGAACTGAGAGTCGAGAGAACATTTTCTCTCAAACGGCACAATCCCACCAGCATATAAATATTATGTAAACTGAAGATTGGTGGACTTTGAAGACTGGTTTGAACCTATTTTTTAATGTTCGTAAAGTGTGCCAATATTCATCTGTTCAAACGCTTGCTTACCGATTAAAATATATGACAAACGATTATGAAATATTTTTAAGAAATATGGTTCTCACTTTTAGTAGCTTTACGTAATGAGCTATGTGGCTTACGCCACAACCTTACGCTATGTGGCTGAGATTGAAAGATGTTATCAGAATCAGAGTACAAGATAAATGAGAAACTTCAATCTCAATATTATCCCAATGACATGAATGCTTGAGGCTTGTATTGAATAACTTTACTATACCTTAGTGAGGATATATACAAAACATTACAACATATTGTGAAAGTTCGACGAAATCCGAAAATGCTGTCTATGAAGATTTTTTTTTACCGATTATCATATATTTACAATTGTTTGAACTGATTGAATTCGTAATATATTTAATTAATACAGTTTAAATCTGATATTAAATAATGAAAATTATTTTTTTTTCTGAATATAAATGGATATATAGATGGATATTACAATGGGAGACTTTGTGCATATCATCAGTGTTATAAATCGGGCCGGATTTTTCGCGCATGCGTGACGAAACAGACATAAGACAACGACGTATGTGACGTAGCGATGTTGGGCGCAAAAGCTTAGCGTGAAATAGCGCGAAAATTTTAACGGAATCATCGCCGAATAGGTACAGGTAAGGTAAGTATTTTACATATAATATTTATATTTTTGCATAATAAATTCATTTTAAATTATAAAAATGTTTATGTAATTATATATGGGCAACCAATGTTACATAATTTTATTCATATTATTATGTTACTGATATCCTATTCGCCGCGTGAAAAACCCGACCCGATTCACAATACTGCATATCAAAATTTATGATTTTATTAAATATAACAAATATATATATATATATATCAAACAAATATATATCATAGCATTTTATCATTCATCCCTTTTAAAACTCTAAACTTTTATCTGAGACCTTCTCTGCATGACAAATTTAGAAGATAACTATTAAGAGAAGTATTTCCATTAAAACATTATGACCTTACTTACCTGTATGTTTCTTTCTGTGTTTAAATATTTTCCAATATTAAATTATAGAAAATTATAAAAAATTATTAATGATAAAAATTATGTGTAAAATTATGTGTAAAAGAAAAAAAAATTTAGAAATCCATGAAGTTATTAAGTACTGTACTGAAAATAAAAAATTGAAACTAAAAATTAAGATTTTACCAATTAGATAATGTTACCGCAGAGCAGAAAATCGCCAGATCGACTACCAAAATGATGAATGTAATTCTAAACATTATCGTCCCAGAATCGGAGGCAATGAATTGAACAGAAAATTTCTTAAACTAAAAAGAAAAAAATAGTATTAGCGACTTAATATTAACGGACTAATATTTAATCTATTTTATTTCGATTAAATTTTGATATCCAATTTACGATATTTAATATATACGATTACTCGCAGCTGTTGTAGTCCATATTTCTTACAGGAAAACGATAAGTTGATTGAACAACATCACTAATAAAATACTATTTTTTATTATTTTATGACACAGTACAAATAGAATGTCATAGAGACATATATCTATATATAAAATAGTTAAAACAAATATAACGAAGATCAGTTTTCCTTGTATATTTGAGTTCTCACCTAAACTAAGATTTTAGAATTTGTCCCTCTAATATTATATAAGTCTGTGAAGGAAACTAATTTTAAGTGAGAAAGCATCAATAATGCCTTCTGTAAACTAGACTCATTTTATTGATCTGAATGCAGAAATATATAATTTTTTAAATTCTTCATGACTAAAATTAGCAAATTTGATAGACTTTTAAATATAATTGTTTAACTATCATTGTTTTTACAAAAGGAAGTTTTTACAAATACAATATACAAATACAATATATGAAATTTATAATTATTGGCAATGGCAAGTTTTTTAAATGCAGAAAAATCTTGAATTTTATGAAAATGAATTTTAACTTAATTAATATTTAATATTTAAAAAATATTTAAAAACTTTATCTTTCAGACATCTTTGAACATCTTTTAGGCCAATATTCATAGTCCGTTCTTATATTTAAAATCGTCTTAAATAAACTTATATAGTTATCTTATTGATTGAAATATAATCTTAAATCGATCTTAAATATAAGAATTAACTATGAATAGATTTGTGTAATATCTAGATTTGTGTAATAATATCGCCCTTAGATTTGTGTAATATCTGGAGTTATTTATTAATCTGATTTTATAGAATAAACAAAATAAATTTTAAATTTTGTAACATAAATATTCATTATTAGTCAAATAACTTATAAAAATTGTATTTCCCAAGGAAGTACAAGAAAGGCTGTAGAGATTCAAAAACATCACGACAATCTAAATAATAATAGTCATAGATTTTATAATACTAGATAACTTTTCCTTTAGATGGAAAGAGACAGTAGATGTGTCGTATCTTCTATTCTTTAGTTTCCGAATGTATGCGGTAAAGAAGAATATAACATATTGCTATCTCACCTTATTATATAAAAAACAGAAAGACAGAATATTACCTTCTCACTCTCAACTCGGATCTCGGAATTTTAATCAGAAGGCGTATTCAATACTGTAAGATCTATGAAGATAGTGATTACAATAAATGGACTGGAAGACTGGAACACGTGGAAGACTGTTCTCCCAATTAACCGAAAAAAATTTCTCCCACTCTTCCCTCTCTTCTAGTTTTCAAATTTTCTCCCTTCTGTTTTCTTCTTCCGCTTTTCATATTTCTACCCTCCTCTCTTACAGCATAGGGAAGCAAAAAGGTGGCGTATTAACAAGCTTCGTCGTCCCGATGAAGTGAACTGCAATGTTCATGAAATATTGGCATTTAATAATGTATGATAACACGAATAATACTCGGAAACATATTAACTTTTTTGAAAATAGTAATCATGGAAGCAATTTTCTTTATTCTATTATTACTAAAAAGAAATCAAACATCACGTTAAAGAAATCAGAACCATTATAGAAAATATTATTTGCGTTTATTGCATTTATTTGTATACTTATCAGTTTTACAGAAAGTCAATTTAAAAATATAAACGTAACCATATATTATTTAATGTGTAAATTGTTATGATGGATCAATAATTGACTGGATATAATAATTATATAGATCGATTTGAGTTTTGTTAATGATTTTTTCATATTCAAAATTATTCAAAATAAAACGACTTTTTTTATTTATACTTAGGACAATTTATAATATAAAACAAAAGGCAAAATCATGCGAAATAGCAAAAATCAATAATCTTTTTGCTTTATTCATTTTTTTTCTCTTGTTTTTCAATGTAGAAAGAAAGAAAGATGCAAGAAATGGAAGCGTCTCGTTTGACCACGTTGTAATTGGCAACAGCCAATTACAGCTATTGATGCCTGGAGATTTTCCACGGAACCAATCAAAAAATTTTATTTTAATTGGCCAATCGGACGCCACTCTGTACGACAAATTTTTTTTAATGTGTTGATTGGCCCTACATAGTGAAATCTTTAGGTCTCCAAATGTGTTCTATTTTGTAACCAATCAATGCATTCAAAAATTTTGTCATACGACAAATAAAAGCTTAGTTACTTTGCCTCATTTTTGAATGCGCCCCATAGGTCTATCCTCCATCTTAAATCAATCTCCATTACACTACTCGATCTTCTTTCCATTTCTAGCCAAAGCGGCACGTTGTACGGAATATAACCTAGTAACTATTGGTACAATTCCATTGAATTCATTGATTTTCACTGCGTCTTAAATTATTTTTGAAAGGGTAAGTTAAACATGTGAAGTATTTACGCTTATCTTATGGATAGAATATGTTTATTTTATTTAACATTTAAATAAGCCGCGTGTATCGCATAACCTCAATCTATTATATCCACGTTGTGATTAAAAATCGATATTTTATCAAATATTTTTGAATTATTTCGTATTTTTAGTGTTTGGCTATATGTCAATTTGTATATATTATTTATTTTTAGTTGTATATTTTTCATATTCATTTGCGTCTATTTAGAAATGAAGACTAAGATAATGGACAAGAAAGGAAAGAAGCGATCGCTCAGCGAAAGCTCCGTTTCCGTAAAGCCGAATCAAAAACAAGGAAATGCGAATGAACCTAACAAAAATTCCAAAAAAATGAAATTTGTTAGTTCTGAGCAAAATGGGAATCTCATGTTAGAAAAGATGCAAATTTCTAAAATGGACAAACAGAAAAAAAAGAATAAAATAACGGACCAGCAGAATAGTACCGTAAAACCATTGGAAACAAAGAAAGATACAAAAGGAAAGACAGAACTGACTACTGGTAAACTTGAGAGAAAAACTATTGGAGATAAAACTGGTTCAAGGAGGAATAGGAATTCATTTAAGATTTTAGACTCTAAAGATTTGACTGTAGAAGAGATGATAAAAAAAGTAGAAGAAATTAAGAGCAGAGAAGTCTTATCAAGGAGAGCGAGAAGAACTTTGGGTATACTTTACAAAAAATTGAGATTGAAAGGACATAATATCGAACCAAGGAATTTAAATAAAACAGGAAAGAAGAATAATGAAAAAATAGAACATCAAGCAAATGCATTAGTGAAGAACAAACAGCAAGTTAATAAGGATGGAAACAAAAGAGATAAGATGGAAACAAAAAAGAAACCTGTTCAAAGCGCAAAAGATAAGCTACAAGAAGACCTTAGTGATGAAGAGGAAGATGATAGCGATTCTGAGGTAGACGATAATGATGTTGAAGGTGGCAACAATGTTGAAGAAGATGATACCGATGAAGAGGAAGATGAGAGTGATGAAGAGGAAGATGACGACGACGAAGATGATGAGGAAGATGAAGATGATGAAGAAGAGGATGAAAATGACGAAAGTATGACAGAAATGAAAATTAATTTAGATAAGATAAAACAAAAATTGATGACGAGGATGAAGATGACGAAGAAGATGAAGAGGATGAAGAAGATGTAGAAGATGAAGAAGACGAAGAGGATGAAAAAGATGAAGAGGAAGATGAAGATGACGAAGAAGACGAAGAGGACGAAGAAGAGAGTGAAGAAGACAAAGAAGAAAAAAAAGATGCAAATAAAAAGGCAAACATTTGGGAAATAAAAAAGAAAGAAATAGAACACAAGAATAAACAACCTGCACAACCCACAAATGATCAGAAAAAAGGAGACGCAAAGAAGCGTCCTGTTCTTTTTGTGGGCAATTTACCATCAGAGTAAGAGATATTTTTATAATATTTATATTTCAATATTCTATTATTTTTAAATTATAATGTAAATATCTAAATTGCAGTATAACTGAGGATGAGATCAAACGACATTTCTTGACTAAAGTAAATACAATAACTAGCATTAAAATACCAACTATGCCAGGTAAAACAGAATCACGCGGCTTTGCATATGTGGAGATGACAAATCATACTGATTGTGAGGTAAAAGCATTTTATTGTGATTTATTAAAAATTTTTATTATTTTTATTTCAATATAACTAATGATTTTTGTACTTTTAACAGAAAGGACTATTGCTGAATCATACATTCTTAAAGAAAAGGAAGATAAATGTTCAATATGCGTTACCGATCGGTACAAAGGCACATGCTAACAAGCAGTTCATAGTTTCCAAGAATAAAAAGTTCCAAGCGTTTCAGAAGGCAGGAAAATTTGCTGGTGGGAATCAAAAGCAGAAGCCATTTCAAAAACAAAGGAAATAAGACTCTGAAGAATCGAATTCATAATAAAATAAATAGATTTAATTAATACATTATTTGTTAATCATTTGTTTTAATCATTTAATAACTTTATTATGACTTCCACAAGAAAGCAATTTTTATGTCAATGTAAGAACTACTTTAACATAAAGATACATATAGTTTTATTTTCTATGATTACATTTTTTTATTCTCTGATAAAATATGAAATAAATATATAGATGATATCAACTAAATGTTCATACGATAAAATTTTTTTTCATTGGTTTATTTTAATTAAAAATAAGAAATAGCTATAATTTTACTTAAATAGGTTAAGAAGACAATTAATCAATAATGTTACATGTATGTATGTACAGTATGTTATATTTATAAAACAAACGAATACATTCATATTTCTATTTAGCATATTTGACATTTATAAAAAATACGTTCGTGAATAGAATGAGTCACTTGGGTTTGTATCATTCCTGGTGTCTTATCAATTATCAATAATTCATAATTTTGTATAAGGAAGAAACTGCAAATTTCATGCAGATAATTTTGCGGATAACATACAAACAGTAACACAATGCATGGCGATTTATTCGAGAGTATTATCGTAAGATTAAACTGAACATTGTTTATTAAATACTTAAGTGAGAAATGGCAAATAGTGCTGGCCAATTGGAGACAAACGATTCTTTTAATGGTGAAAATATGCCATCAATTAAACTCGTAGAGGTATTGTCTCTAATATTTTTAGTCTTAATGATAAATATAAACGGATTTCGAAAGATAGATCTTTGCGAATGTATATACATCATTAATTGTTTGATTATATTTTTCTCGATTATATTTATATATATTGCTTATGGATCGTTATGCTTTTGCATAGGAAGAACTTTCCGAACGCATCATATTTCCAGAAGAATTGAATAAATTTTTGCAGGATCGTATTCGTGTAAGTATAATAAAATTATATAGCCATATAGTAAATATAAATAATAGAATTCTAATGTATGTATAATTAAACGAATAAAAATATTAATAACAATAAAAACATTACTCGTGATTTATATGTATAATTTTCTTTTCTTTATAGTACACCCTTCGATTATAGTATATTTCAAAGTTACAAGTTGGAAAATTATAATTCGTTAATCTTTTTATTTTTATTTTTTCTCGTTTGTGAATCAATCTTATAATTATTATTGATTAATTCACTGTCGTGTTCAGATAATGATTCTGTAACAGGATTTAACGGCAGAGAATGAATGTTTGCGACGAGCATTTGAACAAACGGAGGAGAAATTGCGGAAACTGTCGCAAGAAAAACAGAATTTGCAAAATGCAATGCCAGCTGAATTGGCCACGACAAAGCTAATCGAACTTAGCAAGAAATATAGAGATCGAACGGCCGAAATGGAAGTTTTAAAGACAAAATGCAAGAATTTAGAAGCCACTCTAATTATCAAAGATGACGAACTAGAACGCCAAAGAAAAGAATTACAACAGATTTTTAAATCTGAAATACACAAGGATTCTTGCAATAGTCAGTTTGCATTTCTTTCCTATTTTGCAAACGACACAAATGTTACATATTTATTTCGTAATTAACTTCTTGCTTAAAAAAACAACTCTAAAGAAATTAAACTTAAATCTTTTTATTCATTAATAATTTTGTAGCAACTTGTAAAAATTAGTCATTTATTCACATTATTTAATCATTTTATATCTTTCATGTGATTGCAATGTCAAAGAGGATGAAAATCTAGATAATATAAAAGAGAAAGATTCAAGCAATTCATTGGGCAGAGGTGACCAAGAACGAATTAAATGTTTGAAGAATAAATTGCAACGAGTCCAAGCAAAACTTTGTGAATCCAGAAACACGTGTGCCGCTCTTAGGCAAGAGATTAATAAAGCACAAAAGGTACCTTACATTCTTGTTGCTCCTGTAAACTTGATTAATAGCGATGACTTTTATAAAAAGAAGCCATTCCATTTTAATTATTTTTGAAATGACGAGAAGAATAAAAAGATAAAAATAAAAAAGATAGAGATATAAAAAAAGAGATTTACAGTTACAGAAATAAGTAAAAGCGAGGCGTGCTTCTTTTCGTTCATTTGCATTAAAGATTTTTATTCTACATTTTCCACGTGTAATAGAGTTATCATTAAGAATACAAGTGTCAGTTATTGTGCAGCGAGGTGGGTGAAAATGTCAGTATTAGCGCGCTTTCGAGCGTACCGGGTGGTTGGCGTGGACGAGCTGAGCAAATCCGGAATCTACAACAGAAAGTGGCGGAATTGCAGACGAGATTGTCCGAAAACGAAAAATCCCAGAAGGAATCCTCTGGTAGAAAACAAAATTGTGAAATTTTACATTTTTACCGACAATCAGAATTATTGTTATTGTAAATTGTTTTTTTTTTTTTTTTTTCATTATTTTTCATCCCACTTATTTGCAAAACTTCATCGTCCAATCGCGTTACCCCATTGTCGGACAATTTGTATTATTGCGACTCGTAAATGTGGTCATGACCACATTTATTTGTTTCTCTTACAAACAAGCCGTTTATTATAATTCCTCTGTTTATTTTAATTCTTCTAGATCGACAAAATCTGACGTGTCTACGGAATGTTGAAAGGGAAAGACGGCAACAAATGGAAAATACAGCGAAGGAGCTGAGACAAGCGGAAGTAGCATTGGAGACCTCGAAAAGGAAACTCGACGCTTTCAAGGCGAGAATAAAAATATTGGAACAAGAACTGAGTATTGCAAAGGGGAATATCACGATGCTGAATGAAAAGAGATCTCACGACGATCGTCTGGTCGACGCACTCAACGTTAGTAACGTTAAAAAAAGTATTCACTTGAATAAAGGATCCGGAAAGAATTACGAATACGAAAAGAGACTTTCTATTTCACGTAGTAAATTAAAAAAAACTTTCCGATATTTATGTATCAAAGTGATGTGTTGTGACGTTATCAGGGACGATTAAAGATTTCTGAAGCGAGGTACCAAGAACGCGAGGTAGAGGTGCAAAATAGGGAACACAAGATTGAACGTGAGAGCGCAAACATTAAAAACGAGCTGCGAGCAACGCAGTTGCACGTGGAGCGATTACGCAGGAGATTGGAGGAGCGCGAGATTGAGATCGACAAACTGAGGTTTATACGAAATAAACTACAAGATAATATACGGCGCAAGTTACACCGTTCAATGGGAGAAACATATTTGTTTTTCAATTTTTAGAAATGGCACGATGGACGAGTCTTTCAAGTGCCGAACCTCGCTCCATCCAGATTTCCGACCAATTGGCGAACGATCGATCAGTCCGATTGATAGTTCACGAAGTTTAGGCGAACCAAATGAATATGTGACTTTGGCTCTGGCTGCTGAAGCTGAACGAGTGAGACTGTTAGAATTAGTAGCCGTCCTTAATCAACGGCTGGACAAGGAGAGAAACGAAGCTGACGCACTTGCAGTAAGTTGTTATTGCCTTTGTATTAATGTTTGTATTGTTTGATTGTTTAATGAAATTTAAAAAAGTCAAAGAAAATTAATTTATTGATTTTATTTAAAAAATTAAATAATAAATTATTATTTCTTAATGATACTGTGTATGTAAAATTGATGAAAAGGAATGAATATTGAAATTGTATATCAGAAAATTTCGATTCATTAGAATTTTGATGTAGTCTAGTCTTAACCAATTTAAATATTCCATTCGAAAGGAATTGCTGCGTAAGGAAAAGGGTAAGTGTGCGAAATTAGAATCGAAGTTGCGAGATTTAGAAAAAGAGAAAGTGGGACTTGCTAAAGTGAATACTGGATATAGAGCAAAATCTTGCACGAAGTCAATGTCGAGTGTACGAGGGCACGAAGAAACTGCTAACCCCGACGAAGTTCGCTACAAGTAAGTTAGTATTTCTGTAGTATTTCTTTTTGCCTTAACTTCCTTCCTCGCATCTATATCGCGTCTTTATCGTCGTATATGTTTGATGTAGAATCGAATTACTAGAAGAGGAGTGTCTGGCATTGAAGGCCAGATTAGATACCGTGCAACAGGATAAAGCATCGGATCTCGCCACGTACAAGCAAATGCTCGAGCAAACTAGAAAGACTTTTAAAGACGCGTGCAGGTGAGAATCTGGACCGTGTCCAAACTCGCATATGCATAAGCGACGTCTAAATTCCGCTTGATGACCGCAAATGCGTGCATGTAAATATGCACGTGTATACTTTTACAAAAGACGAGTGGCTCATCTCACGATCGTCTCACTCTCCAATACGGTTTTTTAGGAATACTTTTTTTATGATGCGCAGACAACCAGCGCTTTATTTCTAGATTTTTCTGTGTTTTATTTTTTTAAGATAATTAAATGCGTAAAAGATATATTTGCTTTGATTGTCTCTTCGATGTTATACATTAATTATTAAAAATTATCGTAATTTTTCAAAATTATGCATTTTCTAAATTTATCTGTAAGATCGATTGCGTAGTTATTTCTTAGCACAATGTCAACATCATTTTAAGTATCTTTCGATATCTGTTATACAATCAATTTTCTATATTATTTGTTAAACTAATGCAAGAGTATTTAATTTTTAACCGATAAATTATTTTTTTATAATCTTTCTATATTTGAACCAAATATCTCTTTCTAGAAACAAATTGCTGGCTGCCGGCAGCCGCTCCACGATAACTGTTTAACGAAAAAAAGAAAAGATGAGACGTGATGAGAAGAAACGAGTGAGTATTCCGGAAAATCTTATCGATATGATTTCTAAGACAGACATTTGGTCCAAAGGAATTTGATAGTTCGTGGAAAAAAATAGCTCTATAATTGTAGAAATAGCTCTATAATTAAAATAAGGTATTCTTTTAACAGGCGATCGAGTCAGTTGCCTGCGATCAGAATAGATGTAGCAGCAACAAAGCCGCGGTATGGTGATGTAACTGGGACACGAGATAAGGTGCAACGCCTCCACGTAAACCCGCGTGACACCGCCGGAGTAAAACTCACGGTTTCGTCTCCACCTCATTCCTCTCCGTTCCCTTAAAGTCGCCTCGGTGTTTGCCTCGGTCGAGTCGTTTACTTCTGCCATTGATATCACACGTGGCGGCACCGCGGCCGTAAATTCATCCCGCTTCTCATTACCCAAGAACAGAGTGAGACGACTCTCAACTTTGTCTTCTCTCGAATCTAGAAGTTCGAAGGATATTTGCATGGCTAAGATCTATAAATCGCGATATCATGAGACAAAAATGGCAAAAAAAGAATATATAAAAATTTCATGCAGCTCTCTCATGCACTCTATTATGCGAATATAATTTTAGATATTTTGTAGCTAAAAAATAAATAAAACTTTATTACTAAAATGAATGGTTTATAATCAAGCAAAAATGATTAAGCTCGTATGCAGATATATTTTACGTTTCAATGTTTATTAATATTCAAAATTTATCGAACGTGTTTTTGTACTTTGGTCATATCTTGTTTTTGAAAATCAATTCATTGATTAACGTGCATTGAAATTTCTTGTGTCCCATTTAACATTGTAGCTAACATAACAATATTTCCTTGGTATACCCATTTTACATAACATCTCATCAATGGCTACGCGCGTTTGCGGAATATATTGTACAATCCTGACCAGTGACAAACATCCAACTTCCATCTGGTTTTTCTTATTCTTATTTTTATCCAAGATGATCAACGTACAGAGATTTATTAATTATTTTTTTAAGAAATGAAAAAATGAATAAAGATGAACATTTTCAAAAAC